AGGAGGGTGCTTTTAAGAACCGTGTGTCCTTGTTGTTTTGTTGTCTCTTGCAGAGGGAGGAGTCACTCAGGAGCATGGCGGCTTTGAACTGGAAGCCATTCGTCTACGGAGGCCTGGCTTCCATCACTGCAGAATGTGGTAGGTATTTGAACTCGTGAGATAATCAGATGAGATTACTGCTAATTTAGAAAACCGCCCAATGCAGGTGTTTAATGAACTTGGAACTGACTCCTTGCACGCCGACAGGCCTTGGCACTAAAGTCCTTGCAAGCTCAGTGTCATGCCTCTGTCGGAATCTGACTCGGAGGGGGAGGCCGAGCAGCTGACAGGGAATGGGAGTGTGGCTCCGTTGACTATGGAAGAAACTGGGGAAGGGCACCGTCCGGCTGGGCAGAGCAGGGAAGAGGGAGAACAAGGGAGAAGGAGTTCCGAGGAAGACCCAGGCCCACCCCTCTCTTCATCCTAGGGCACGCAGGGAGGAATGGAGAAGGGAGCAACGTGAGTTGCATGGCTTACGGGGGAGGAAAGGGCCCTGATTCCTTTCATTAGCTGAAGCTGGGAACACAGTGTTTAAAAAGGGAGTTTGCACACAGCAAGTTACTGGTTGCAAATCGTGAATTATCTGGTATCATTGAGGCTTATCTGGTTCCTGGTGTCTTCCCAACTGTGTGAGTTTTGCCATGTTTTGAAGTCTGAAATTCCTTCTCCTGGCCTGTCAAGTTAATTACTTCAGTTTGGTTTGTTTGGAGTTTAAGTTACAGTTTGTGTGTACCTTGTTTTGGACTGGATTTTCTCTACTTAGAGGCTGTTCTTGAGATTTTCTCCAGCCAAAGGTAGCCTGGACATTGGGGGCAAAGTTGGAGATAATTAAAGGGACTCTTCTTGCTTATTTAACTGTGTGTAACTAAAGTTGATCCTGCAAGAGAGGGGCCAACATCCAATTTAATGCTTTTGCAATCTGTTCACTTTTTAAAAAGTCCTCGACTTAACGGCCACAATTGAGCCACAAATTTCTGTGGCTAAATGAGACCTTGGTTAAGTGAATTTTGCCTCATGATATGACCTTTTTTGTTTTTGCTAGAGTTGTTAAGCGAACCACGGCAGTTGTTAACAAAGTTGCTCTAGTTTCCCGAGTTTGCAAAAATGACTCCAGAATACTGCAACTGTCGTAAGTACGAGTCAGTTGCCAAGCGCCTGAATTTTGATCACATCACCGTGGAGACACTACAATGGTCATAAGTGTGAAAAACAGTCATAAGTCCTTTTCAGTGGTGTTGCAACTTCAAACTAAGCGAACTGTTGTACATCAAGGATGACCTATATTGTGCCTGTATCCCTATTTCTTTAACTAAAAGGTGGCAGGTTTTAATGAGCAAAAATATTGGAATGAGCACAATAATTCAATAGCTGTATCTCAAGGTTGAAGAAGTTGGAAGTTGGTAGTTTGCTTGCAAACCATGAATGAAATATTTTTTTAGTTGGGTAATGAAATGTGGCCTTAATCGTTATGGAGATAAACCTTATTTTAAAAGCATAGTTAAGGGACCTCAATTACATTGCTACTCATAAATGCATGTCCTTCCTTTTCCTTTTTTTTTTTCCTTTTCAGCACGAGGAATTTGGTTCTGCTGAGCTATAAATCTTGAGTTTTAAAAATGGAATTTTAAAAGGAAGACATATTTCTGAAAAAGGGAATTTTAACTTTCTTAAAACTAAGTTTCTTTCAAAGGAGATCTACATTGTGATTGAATTTTGATACAGTATAAAATGGGGAAAGGAGAAAAGTGAGGAAGTATCCAGTTTTTTTTTAATTATATATATAAAAGGCAGGAAATTAATACTTTAGCACAGAAACAAAATTTCTAAGTCTCCAGCGTAACTAGATGTTTGCAAAAGCAGTCAGAATATTATCATATCTTGCTAGGAATGTACTAAAGCTTGCTCCCAGCCTGTGGAATGCAATTATGGCTCCTATTTTTCTTTCAACATCATTTGTAATAATAACATTATTTGTTATTGTTAATAGTTTTGTGTGTGTGTGAGTGTGTGTTTCACACTTCAAATATTCATAGTGCCTTGAACAAAACTCTGGCATATATACAATAACAACAATATCCAGTTATTCTAACAGACAACGGAATGGGGAATAGCAAATTGATGGAGGATTTGAATTATAGAGAATTTGAATATAGATGATTTGAAGGGTTCGATAAATTATAGATAGTTTGAAGGGTTTGATAAAAGCATATTTTTATTTTTAATGAAATTAGCTATGTTCATAAATTTAAGGGCCCCCTCCATCCTGGGTATGCAGGTTATTTAAACAGGCACACGTGCACACACCACACACAAACACACATGTATATTCTGTCCAATTTATGTCAGAAACCAGAGTGGAGTGGCACAGCGGAAGTGTGTTGGGCCCATAACCCAGAGGTTGATGGATCAAAACCATCCTATGCTACCACATATAGGGAAAGTGCCAGTATGTCGCCTCTAATGAATCCTCTGAAGTTTTTTGAAGTTTGGCTCGAGAATCATGGTTTAATTAGAGTGATTGCTGGAATCCTGACAGCAAGCTAACTCTGGCCTACGTCATTTCCAGTCCCCTGTGACCCTGTTTTCCCTCTCCCCCCTGGGTGTGTCATAAATCAGATTCTCCAGCTGAGCCCCTTCAAGGGCTGGGTGTCATCATTCACGTTCTCCAATTAAATATATTCGCGGGCAAAAACTCTGGTGTTTTAGTTATAATCTTTTAAAGATAAGAGTTGGAATGTGTCATGCCCCTGTTGGAATCTGATTCTGAGGGGGAGGTCGAACAGCTGATGGAGTGGGAGTGTGGCTCTGGAGGCTGTGGAGGAAACTGGGGAAGGGCACAGTCCGGCTGGGCATTCAGAGAAAGACCCAGACCCACCCCCTCTTCATCCTAGGGCATGCAGGGAGGAACAGAGAAGGGAGCAATGTGAGTTGTGTGGCTTACGGGAGAGGAAAGGGCCCTGATTCCCTTCATTAGCTGCAGCTGGAAAAACAGGATTTTAAAAGGGCGTTTGTGCACAGCACCTTGCTGGAAGCAAAGTGTGCATTATCTTTGTTTGTTGAGGCTTATCTGGGTTTTTGCCTCCTCCCAACTCTGTGTGTTTTGTTATTCTTTGAAGTCTGCAATTCCTTTTCCTGCCCTATCCCGTTAATTGCTGCAGCGTGGTTTGTGTTGGTTTTTATTTATAATTTATATATACTTTGGGTTCAAGCTGAATTTCTTCCCTTTAAAGACTGTTCTTGGGAGAATTTTCTCTCCAGCTGAAAATAATTGGACATTGGGGGGGCCAAGTTGGAGGTATTAAAGGGACTTTACCTACTTTTGTGACTCTGTTACTTTTGTGCCAGGCCCCTTTGGGTCATCACAGAATGTACTTTTGCTTTCAAACTGCTCTTCCAGATTTCCTTCCCTCCTTTTTTTTATGGCAACTACTAAAAGAGGCTTGGGAATGTTTTAGGAGTTTGACATTAGGTTTGCTTCATTCTGGAATGCCTGCAAGTCTGTAAATTTATAATTCACGAACTAACCAATTCTCTCTTGGGCCTGAAGGTACTTTTCCAATCGATCTGACGAAAACACGGCTGCAGATCCAAGGCCAGAAAAACGACGCCAAGCATAAAGACATCCGCTACCGTGGAATGCTTCACGCGTTAGTGAAAATAGTCAGGGAAGAAGGATTGAAAGCTTTATACTCTGGGTAAGACTTCTAACCTTGTCTGTTTTGTGCATTGTTGAAATGTGCAGATGTGTCTCTGGGTTGTTAAATAGTTTTTGTTTTAGAGTTGCCATGAAGAGCAATGCACCAGTTTGGAACCAAATGTGCATTCCATTTGTATCTTGCAAAGATTGTAACTAAGCGACTGGAGTTTTTGCCCCACAAATCTCTTAATTGGAGAATATGATTGATGACTCTTGGCTATGAACCTGTTTCATTGGAGAATATGAATTATGATACACCCAGAGAAGTGGGGGGGGGGGGGAAACCAGGGTTAAGGGTGACAGTGAATTATGTGTCTCAGAATCGGCTACATCCAGGTCATGCTGACATGTTCACCTCTAATAAATCCTTTGAAGTTTGTGAAGCTTGGCTTGAGGCTCATGATTTTAATTAGGGCAACTGCCGGAATCCTGACATGAGTCACAAACGTGTGTGCAGCATGCTATATTTTTTTATTCTTCACCCTTTTAATCGTAACCAGTTCTCGGAGACTGCCTGGACAAATTTTTGCAGTTTTCTTGGCAAGGGTTTTCAGAAGTGGTTTGCCATTGCTTCCTTCTTAGGGCTGAGAGAAAATGACTGGCCCAGGGTCACCCAATTGGTTTTGTGGACTAGAATTCACAGTCTCTTGGTTTCTAGCCTGATGCCTTAACCAGTAGGCCAAATTGGCCCCTCAAACTGGGGTTTTAGATTATCTTAGACCTAATTTTTGGACCTAATTCTGAGTCACATCCTAGTTTATTTTCCTAGTGGGTTAATTGGTATTAACTTGGCATGCCCCATTGAGGAAAAAGTCATTTAATGCTTTGATGAGAACTGGTGAATTGGATTCAAAATTGTGTTTTTGGGTGCAAACATGGCTTTTAAAGTTTGGGATGTTCTGAATCTTTTCTTCCTGTAGTGTGCATTTACACAAACACCCATGATGCATACATTCCCAATAAGATTGGTTATGAACAGGCTGAACTATTCTAGAAAAGTTTTGTGTTCCCTAAAATTCTCTATTTTTTCTCCGGAACATTTAACTTCAAAATTCTGGGGAGGAAAAACTTTTGGAAAAGATGCATGTTTGTTTCTCCTGCTTTGCATACAATTGTTGGTGATTTCTACATTTATAGATTCTTCATAAATTCCCTTGGGAGTCAAATTTGGGTCTGAGTTTTTAGAAGTCCATATTCCTTCCCAAGAACTGCTTCCAGCAACAGTTGATTCAACCGGTCATAACAGATATAAGAGAGACAATTTGGTGTAGTGCTTAAGGCCCCTTATTAGAAACCTGGAGACTGTGAGTTCTGGTCCAATCTTAGGCATGAAACCTACCTGGATGATTTGGAGCCAATTACCATCTCTCAGCCCTAGGAAGGAGAAAAAGGGAAGGACAGATCATTTTGGAAAAACCTTGCCAAGAAAACAGCAAGGCCTAGTCCAAACAGCGACCAAGAGAGATTCAAAAATAGCAAATCACGAAATAGAAATCTCTTTTAATTTATGCTGGTTGCCAACTATCCTTGGAGCCTCCTGAACTCTTCTGCTGCCACCAATGTGGTTATAACTTCCTCGCCTGGAGTATTAACAGATAACAGATAATCAGAATTGGAAGGGACCTTTATAGGTCATCTAGTCCAACCACCTGCCCAAGCAGGAGACCCTACTACATCATTTCTGATAAATGGCAGTCCAATCTCTTCCTGAAAGCCTCCAGTGATGATGCTCCCACAACTTCTGAAGGCAACTTCTGTTCCATGGGTTGATTCTTTTCACTGTCAGAAAGTTTCTCCTTATTTCCAGGTTGAATCTCTCCTTGTTCAGTTTCCATCCATTATTCCTTGTCTGGCCTTCAGGTGCTTTCAAAAATAGCTTGACCCCCTTCCTCCTCTCTGTAGCAGCCCCTCAAATATTGGAAGATGCTATCCTGTCTCCCCTGGTCCTTCTCTTCCCTAGACTAGCCAGGCCCAGTTCCTGCAACCAGTCATCGTATGTTTTAGTCTTGAGTCCCCTCATCATCCTGGTTGCTCTTCTCTGCACTCGTTCTAGAGTCTCACCATCCTTTTTATATTGTGGTGGCCAACACTGGATGCCGTACTCTAGGTGTGGCTTTACTAAGGCTTTATAGAGTGTTATTAGTAGCTCACTTGATCTCTATTGTATCCCTCTGTTAATGCAATTTAGGATTGCATTAGCTTTTTTGGCTGCTGCTGCACACGGCTGGCTCCTATTTGGCTGATTGTCCACTACGACTCCCAAGATCCCTCTCCCAGTTCCTGCTATTGAGCCTGGTTTCACCCAGTCTGTATGTGTCTTTTGGGTTTTTCTTGCCTAAGTGGAGGACTAAGTATATTAGGTGTTTAGAAGACCGCAGGAGAGCCAGACCCCTGATTTGATTAATGCCTGTGTTTTCCTCTTGCAGAATAGCGCCGGCTATGCTGCGCCAGGCCTCTTACGGGACCATAAAAATAGGCACTTATCAGAGCTTGAAAAGGATATTTATCGAACGGCCAGAAGGTAAGCAGGTATTCCCCCCCCCCACCTCCCAGATCCAAGCTGCATTTCTTAGATCAAAGATAAAGAGAGATCAGAGCAGAGAATATAGGAAACTAGAAGAGTTTTAATGCAGGGGGTCAGCTAAGAGAATAACCGATGGAAGTCTGTAGAGATTCTCCGTCCTCCAGGTCATGCTTGTCCTAAAGGTGCTTTTTGTCAGGAGGTAAGTGGACTTTCTTGTTTCTTCTTTTGAAGATGTTTCGCTTCTCACCCAAAAAGCTTCTTCAGCTCTGACTGGAGGGTAGGAAGGGAAGGATTTATACTCCTGGCAAACAACTGGTCATTGACATCCTTTTAGAGAGTCGTTGAGGCCACTTGGAGGTTCTCTGTGTCCTCAAGGTCCCCTGAGTGGTGCCAATGGTTCCTGTAGTCTGCAACTTTTTCCCCTCTGGAAATCCATTCCTGCCCCCACCCCATTCCAACCCCAAATTGTATAGCTAAAAGTCTGTACAGATTCTCCCTCATCCAAGTAATGGTAGTCCCAAAGGTGCTTTTTTCAGGAGGCACCTGGACTTTCTGGTTTTTCTTTTCTTTTGAAGACGTTTTGCTTCTCATCCAGATAGATAGATAGAATTCTTTTTATTGGCCAAGTGTGATTGGACACACAAGGAATTTGTCTTGCTGCAAATGCTCTCAGTGTCCATAAAAGATACATTTGTCAAGAGTCAAGAATCATCAGGTCCAACACTTAATGATAGTCATAGGATACAATAAGCAATCAAATTATACTAGCAGACAGTCAATATAAAGTAACAAAGTTACAGTCCTACAGTCACAAGTGGGAGGGGATGGGCGATAAGGAGTGATGAGAAGATTAATAGTGTTAGTAGTGCAGACTTTGTAAATAGTTGGACAGTGTTGAGGGAATTATTTGTTTAGCGGAGTGATGGCATTCAGGGAAAAACTCCCCTTGTGTCTAGTTGTTCTGGTGTGCAGGGCTCTATAGAGTCATTTTGAGGGAAGGAGTTGAAACGGTTTATGTCCGGCACGTGAGGGGTGTGTAAATATTTTCACAGCCTTCTATGACTCGTGCAGATACAGGTCCTCCATGGAAGGTAGGTTGGTAGCCATTGTTTTTTTTCTGCAGTCCTAATTACTCCCTGGAGTCCGTGTCTGTCCTGTTGGGTTGCAGGAAGAAGGAGCTTCCTCAGCTCTGACGGGATCGTGGATAGGATAATCCTTCCATTCCCCCATTATCCTGTCAGAACTGAAGAAGCTTCTTGGATGAGAAGCGAAGCACCTTCAAAGAAGTCCAGTTGTCTCCTGAAAAAGAGCACCTTTGGGACCACAGAATTGGAAGGGACCTTGGAGGTCTTCTAGTCCAGCCCCCTCCTTAGGCAGGAAACCCTACACCACTTCAAACAAATGGTTGTCCAATCTCTTCCTAAAAAACTTCCAACGTTGGAGCATTCACAACATCTGGATGCAAACTGTTCCACTGATTAATTGTTTTCCCTGTCAGGAAATTTCTTCTTAGTTCTAGTTTCTGCTTTCCTAGATCTCAAACAATTTCTCCTTAAAAACTCCCATGGTATTAAGACGCTTCCAAAAAAAAAAAAAAAAAAAACCTGTGCCAAGAAAACTTCAGGGTCTAATTAAAACTAGTTCGGACGCCCAAATATAAACCTTGAGCGTAATGAATTTTTTCCCCTCTGATACAGACGAAACTCTGGCTGTCAATGTCTTGTGTGGGATTCTGTCTGGAGTCATTTCCTCTTCCATTGCGAACCCCACCGATGTGCTGAAGGTAAGTTCTTGGCCTTCCGTTTCATTTCAGTTTGCATCCAAGGGCCAACCATGCTTCAGATAAAGCAGGAGGCAGCTAGTCGACGGTGAATTTCCGAGGGACACCCTCCCAAAAAAACTTGCATGTTTAAAACTCAAAACCGAAACTGTTTTGGATGGAATAAACCAAAGAGGGTTGGCGATGCTGGCTATTTTGGAGGTCAGATTACAGGCAGCCCTTGAGTGGTGGGGTGGCCTAGAGGTAGAACTCTCACCTCACAATCAGGAGGCTGTGAGTTCGATCCTAGGTTAGAGGCAGATATTTCTCTCTCTTGGCACAATGAGAATATATCGGCTGAACAAAACTCTGCACTGGTGACAGGAAGGGCATCCGGCCAGTCAAATACTCAGCTCCATTCATTCAGTTTCCCCGACTCCACCCTGCAAGGGATTATGGGGTCATTAAAAGAAGATGATTACAGGCAGACCTTGACTTAACAACGGTTCATTTAGTGGCCGTTCAAAACTACAACAGCACTGAAAAAGTGACACGTTTCACACTTACGGCTGTTTGCAGCATCCCCGCAAATCGTAGGATCAAAATTCAGACAGTTTGGCCCCTGACTCATATTTACGACGGGTTGCATTGTCCCAGGGTTGTGCGATTCCCCTTTTGTGACCTTCTGACAATCAAAGACAGTGAGGAAACCAGATCCATTTAACAACCGTTACAACTAGCATAACAACTGCAGGGATTAACAGCTGTGCCAAGAAAAGCCGTACAATCGGGCAAAACTCACTCGATAAATGTTTTGTGTAGCCACAGAAATTTTTGCTACGTGAATTGCGGTCATAAGTTAAGGACGGTCTGTACTTTTGAGGTTCGCCTTTTGAAATAACGTCACCCAGAAGAATAGGAAGTCAGTCCTTGCTTCTTAGCTGTGTTACAGAAAAATAATGTGTATAATTCGATGTAAATAAGTGACATAGATTGTTACGGTTTTCGTCACCACAGAAATTTTCAGCCGGTCTCTAAAGCCCAATTTAAAGCGAAAGCTAATTAGCCTTAAGTCCTTGTTAGTGGTCTTCTCAGGACCTTACAAGGGGCCTGCGGCTAAGCCAGTTTTTAAATATCACCATCTGGACTTGGATATTATTAGCCCTTCTAACTTCCTGTGTCACCTCTCTGGAATGAGAGTCGAGAGCTTTCAGAAATGTCTCAGATTTTTTGCCCAAGGAATAAGAGGAGGAGGGGCCTGGAGACCCTCCTACCACCTGTTGGCTTGATGGATGCGGCTGTTCTGTCCGAGGCCTCCCCAAAGAAGCCCTCCGTCAATTCGGACTCCCGGCAAAAACCTCTTTTATTACATTAAGGTGAATGTAGTTCATTCACAGTCAGCCAACAGCTTGGCAAACAGTCCCGCAAAGGTAGACTAATGAGCTCAGACCTTTATCAATCCTGGAATGCTACCCGGTAAAATTCCACACTCAGTGCTGACAGGGAAGGGCTCGGTTATACAGACAAATCTCCACGAGGCTGGAACGAACGAACGAACGAGCGAGTGGTTTCCTGCAAAAGGCCCCTCCCCTTTTGCTCCTCTTTTAATCCTGATGGGAGGGGCCATTCATCGTTCACCTGTGGCCTTACTCCCACGTCGACCCCGAGTTCTTAATTATTCCTTCCTTTTGGCAGCTCTGCACATGCTCAGGCTGGGAACCGGTTCCAGAAGTTGCCCCACCTCACTGCTGTCTGAGCCCCAAGGCCGCTGAGGACTGCCAGCGTGCCCTAGCCCCCATCTCTGGCTCTGATGCAGAACCCTCCTCCAGGCCTTCCTCAGCCTCCAGACCCGGCCCAGGTTGTCCCCCCCCCCACCCGCTGTTGTGGCCCGCCAGCTCCACCAGCCGCTGGCGGGCCACAACAGTGGCCAGATTTCGTCCCTGCTCCAAGTCCACTTCCTATTAAAATCCAGTCTGTTATTTGAGATTGACGGACTTTCTTGCCGCCGTTGTTAAGGGAATCACTGCAGTCGTTAAGTTAGTCTCATGGTTGCTAAGTGAAACTGCTTCCCCCCCCCCCCCATTGTCAGGAGGTGACAAAAAGGGATCCCATGACCCCGGGACAAAGCAACCGTCATAAGTACGTGCCAGTTGCCAAGCCTCTGAATTTGGACCACGTGATTGTGGGGTTGTATGTGTGGGGAAATGGTTGTAAGTCACTTTTTTTCGGTGCCATCGCAACTTCAAATAGTTACTATAGCAAGAGTTGCAAGTCAAGGATTGTATCATGCCCCTGTCGGAATCTGGCTCGGAGGAGGAAGTCAGACAGCTGACAGGGATTGGGAGTGTGGCTCCATTGGCTATGGGAAGGGCAAAGGCCGGCTGGGCAGAACAAGGGAGAGGGAGTTCAGAGGAAGACCCAGGCCCACCCCCTCTTCATCCTAGAACATGCAGGGAGGAACGGAGAAGGGAGCAACGTGAGTTGTGTGTCCTATGGGGGAGGAAAGGGTCTTGATTCCCTTCATTAGCTACAGTTGGAAACTGTGTTTAAAAAGGGAAGCTGCGCGCAGCAAGCTGTTGGGAGCAAATCGTGAATTATTTGGTATCGTCGTGGCTTATCTGTGTTCCTGGCGTCTTCCCAACTGTGTGAGTTTTGCCGTGCCTTCCAGTCTGAAATTCTTGCTTCTGCCCTGCCAAACTAATTACTTCAGCTTGGTTTGTTTGGACTTTAAGTTACAGTTTTTGTTTACCCTGTTTTGGACTTCATTCTCTGCAGCCAAAGGCTGTTCCTGGGAGACTTTTTCTCCAGCCCGAAGGTAACCTGGACCTTGGGGGCAAAGTTGGAGATAATAAAGGGACTCTTATTGCTTATTTGACTGTGTTGCCTTTGGGCCACGCCCCTTTGGGTCATCTCAGACTGCCTGTATCTCATCCCACCCAATATTAATTATTCCACCTGGTTGTAATTTTCTCTGTCTCCCCATAAAACCAGCCTTGGTCCTAGTTTTCTCTGTCTGCCCATAAAAGCAGCCTTGGTCCTTTTTAAGCATTGAGCAGCAAGCTGGGACTTTCTATACACAGGTGGTCCTCGACTTACGACAGTTCGTATAGTGACCGAAGTTACAACGGCCCTGCAAAAAGTTAGCCCCGTTTTTCACACTTAATGACTGCCGCAGCATCGCCATGTTTACTTGATCCAAATTCGGACAGTCAGCAAATTGACTCGGATTTATAACAGTCGTTGTGTCCCCGGGGGGTCCCCTTTTGCGACTTTCTGATGATCAACCTCAAATGGGGAAGCCAGATTCACTCAACGACCGTGTTAAGTGCAGGGATTCGCTTAACAACTAATGGCAGGAAAGCTCATAAAATGGGACAAAGGTCACTTAACAAGGGTCTCTCACTTAGCAGCAGAAATGCGGGGCTCCATTGTGGCTGTAACTCGAGGACGGCCTGGACTTAACAACCATTTGCTAACTTAAATCTCTCTCTCTCTCTTTTTTGTTTACACTATTAAGAATCGCAAAGGCAATTTCTGCCGGGCCCAGCTCTTTTCTTCCCTTTTTTTTCTTGCGTTGTTCATCACTTGAGAGTTTCAAGAAGAGACTGGACTGCCATTGGTCAGAAATGGTGTAGGGCAGGGGTGTCAAACTCGATATCATTGAAGGCCGCATCAGGATTGTATTTTACCTCGGAGGGCCAGCGTGGGTGTGGTCAGCTCGACATCCCTCGTGTCAGGGGTGCCTGTGGCGGCCCGAGCCCTCGGCCAGAGCAAACAGGCTCCGGAGCTCCGTTTTCGGCTGCAACGGCCTCCTGGAAGTAACCCTCTGCCCATGAAAACAGAGCTCAAGAGGGCTGTGGGCAGCCCACCCGAGTTCTGTTTTGGCTGGCAGAGGCACCGCAGGCCAGTCTTTCGCCATTTCCAGGGTGGCCCTGCAGGCCAGATCTAATCACCCCGCGGGCCAGATCTGGCCCCCGGGCCTTGAGTTTGACACCCCTGGTGTCGGGTCTCCCGCTTGGGCAGGGGGTTGGACTAGATGACCTCCAAGGTCCCTTCCAACTCTCATTACCTGTTAAATCTGTATCTGTATGTATTATCCAGAAGGGAACCCTCTGTTGGGGTCATCATAAGGAAGCCCCCTCCACTTTATCTGTACTCCAGCAGGTCATGAGTAAAAAATACTTGAGCGTGTTAGTAGTATCTAATTTAAGATTGTTCTCCTTCCTCTGGCTCTCCCATTATACGAGCTTTGCCTGCTGTGAGGTCGAGGCATTTCTTAAAGGGCTCCACACCAGCATGCTGGATTTATTGGAGTTATTTATTCTGGGGGAATTGGGAGAAATAACTCTCAGCCCAATTCCACGCTTCCTTGGGTTACTTTTGCAGGGCTTTGGCCAGACTTTTAAGAGAAGTCGGCCATTTTTCTAGCCGTCTAGAAGGAGGAGGAGTAGAGAAATAGAGAGAGATGTTGTGGGTGAGGGAAAGATAGATAGATAGAAGGTAGGTAGGTAGGTAGGTAGGTAGGTAGGTAGATAGAAGATAGATAGATAGATAGAAGATAGATAGATAGATAGATAGATAGATAGATAGATAGATAGATAGATAGATAATAGATAGATAGATAGATAGATATAGATAGGGTAGGTAGATAGAGTAGATAGGTTGGTATGTAGATAGATTATGTAGATAGATAAATAGATATATTCTCTCTTTCTCTTAAACAAAGAGAGAGAGAGGGAGAGGGAGAGCAGGAAAGGGAGAGAGAGAAAGAGAGAGAGGGAGAGGAAGAGAGTTTTTCTTATTTATGAAGCTTTTTTCTGTTTTTCAATCAGAGGCCTTGTACCAGTTCTGGAAGAAATATTTTTCCCCTTAATGTAGGATCTTCCTTCCTTCCTTCCTTCCTTCCTTCCTTCCTTCCTTCCTTCCTTCCTTCCTTCCTTCCTTCCTTCCTTCCTTCTTTACTCCCTCCCTTCTTTCCCTCTCTCTTTCTCTCTCTCTCTTTCCCATCTTTCTTGTTTTTTGTTAACAACTCAAGGCAGCAAACACACAGCATTTAATACTCCTTCTCCCTTCTATTTTTCACAGGACAACAACCCTGTGAGGTGAATTGGGTTGAGAGAGTGATGTTGAGGTAATCCCCCATTAGGAGAATGAGCGCATACAGGGAGGCTTATTTGAGAGAAGTGTTTGAATAATACACACACAGCACACAGATACACTGTACAGTAAATGTAGGTTTTTTACTTCCAAAAAGGTTTAAGCAAAGTTCAAGATAAGCAGTCCAAAGTCATTCACAGGTTAAATCAGTCAGTTTTCAATCCAGGGATAATCCAATAACAAAGTCCGGTGTCAAAAGCAGTTCAGTATTAGAGTTACATCAAATCCAGGAATATCAGTCAATTAGGAAGAACGGCAATACTCTCCAACAACCCAGGTTTCTGGCTTCATCTTATGGCCGTTTGAGAAACCACACCTAATTACACTTTAAGCATTCCCTTAAAGAGGCAGTATTGAAATGTTTATCCTGGTTTATATATTTTCAACCCAAATACCTGTTAGGTGACTTATATTCCTAACAAGTGAGACTGGCTAAAGTCACCCAAATGGCTTTTGTAGCTAACCCAGTACTAGAACTCACCATCTCCTGATGATTGGCCCCCATGGAAGTTGGCTTCCATGTCTAGTGCAGACTACAACTCCCCGTTTCCTGGTTTCAACCCCATTGTTTTAACCGCTAGACCCAACTGGCTTCCCATGTATGCTCATTTTTAAGCATTTTACATGTTGGCGATGGATTTTCCCTTTCGTATTTCGTTCGTTATTTTTTCCCTTTGGAATCCTTTCAATACTCAGCAACCTCTTTGTGTTGTGTTTTCCTTTTCCAAGCCAACGAGAAGAATTATTTGGGTGTAAAACATACGATATAGAAGAGACGACTTTTCTTCTGCCAAGAACTGCAACCTCACATGTTCACATTTTAAACAGGAGTAAGCTGAGCCATAGCCAAAAGTGGGCAGAGATACCCTGTTCTTGAAATAATAGAAAATACTTGCAGCTCGGGTTTTGGAAATGAGCTTGGAGAGCGAACCACTGCCAATATCGTGTTCTCTTTTTGGGGGGAATATTTTTTTTTTTTAGTTTTAACAACAAACATAAACAAACACAAACATAAAACAACAAATAAAACCTTTCAATTGTACAGTGTGTCAGTTGGTGCATATCTCTTGTGCACAATATCAACAGTCTTTCACTCTTAAGTTAAATTAAAATTCATATTATATAGATCAACTATTCATATCATATTATATTATTATTTAAACATCGTAAGACTTTAATTGCAAGTTCACATCATCCTTTTCGAGCAAATCTCAACTTTTACAAGTCCTAATTCATATTATAATTCCTTCCATAATATACAACTATAACATACTTCATTGTATTATATTTAGTTTAGTTTTATATTTATGTTGCAATGTATTTCGTTTCACTATTTTTCTAACCATTGATAAAATAAATCCCACATTTTATAATATTCTTTTTCTTCTTGCTCTCTAATTGCTAATATCAATCTACTCATTTCTGCACATTCCATTATTTTCTATTGGTTTCTTTTCTGATTTCTCTTCCTGGGTGTATTTTTCCTCCACCAAAGGGCAAGACACCAAAAATGACCTCTCAAAGCCCCCCTTTGAAATTAACCTGCCCACCCCTGGTTTAGAGTTACAGGTAAGCCAGATGGATGTCAGCGAGCTGTTTTGATTGACGGCTCCAAGATACGCCAAGATGCCTTCTCATTTCATCATGGAAGAACTGGAGGACGATCAAAATATGGCACCTTTTCTGATTTGTCTTTTTTTTTTGGTCTTCTTTCCCGTCCCCGATAAATCCTAGATCAGAATGCAAGCCCAAGGAAGTCTCATCGAAGGCGGCATGTTTGGGAATTTCATGAATATTTATCAGAACGAAGGCACCCGAGGCCTGTGGAAGGCAAGTTATTCAATACATATCAGACACGTGCCAAGTTTGAGAAAGTTCACAGGGCGAAAGCAACTCCTTCTGGATTGTGGCTGGTTTCCCCCGATTGGGCAACACTGTGTTTGGGGATTTAAAGATGATCAATTGATCATCATTGTATTGATTGCCTTGATAGGTAGGTAGAAAAATGGTTCCTTGATTTGGGGATTTATGGGAATATCTCGCACGGGAAGTTTCTAATGCTGCGAAATAGCACTTTGCAATAGCGCTTAGACTGATATACGGCTTTGTAGTGCTTTTACAGCCCTCTCTAAGGGGTTTTAAAGAGTCAGCACATTGCCCCCAACAATCTGGGTCCTCGTTTTCCCAACCTCGGAAGGATGGAAGGCTACCTTGAGCCTGTCAGGATTGAACTCCTGGCAGTGGGCAGAGTTAGCAATAGCAATAGCACTTAAGACTTATATACCACTTCACAGTGCTTTACAGCCCTCTCTAAGGGGTTTTAAAGAGTCAGCACATTGCCCCCAACAATCTGGGTCCTCGTTTTCCCAACCTCGGAAGGATGGAAGGCTGAATCAACCTTGAGACAGTGAGATTCGAACTGCTGGCAGCTGGCAATCAGCAGAAGTAGCATGCAATAGCGTTTATTCCAACCACTGTACCATCACATCCCTTACAAGAGGAAGGAAGGAAGGAAGGAAGGAAGGAGGGAAGGGAAGGGAAGGGAAGGGAAAGGAAAGGAAAGGAAAGGAAAGGAAAGGAAAGGAAAGGAAAGGGAAGGGAGAAAAAGAGAAGGGAAATGAGAGATGGAGGGAGCAGGAGAAAGAGAAAAATGGAGAAAAAGAGGGGAAGGAAGGAGAGAGTAGAGGGAAAGAAAGAAAAGAAAGGTAGAAAGAAAAGGGCACAAAGGAAGGAGAGAGGAAGGGAAGGAGGGAGAGAATAGCAATAGCATTTAGACTTATATACCGCTTCCCAGTGCTTTCCAGCCTTCTCTAAGCAGTTTACAGAGTCAGCCTCTTTCCCCCAACAATCTGGGTCCTCATTTTACCCACCTCGGAAGGAGGGCAGTCTACCTTGAGCCGGTCAGATTCAAACTCCTGGCAGCGGGCAGAATTAGCCTGCAGTACCACATCCTAACCACTGCACCACACTTCCTACTAACCACAACGCAGACCAAACCGAGCTGCTCATCATCAAAGAATTCTGAATTATGTTTGTTCTCACCAAGAGAAAGTCCAAAGCAGGACCTACTGATGGTAGAAAACACCCCCAAATCTGTCAGGTGGGGCACAGCAACCCATCTCGATTCCTCATTTAAGCACCTGCCTCTGATTCTGAAATATTTGGGAGAAACTCTTGCAGTTTTCCTCTGAGAATTATTATTTATTTATTTATTTTGCAACAATTTTTTTTTAAACATCCTTTTGAGTAAACAATGTGATTCCAGTTGGTTTTTTTTTACATTCTAATACAAACATGACCCTGGTTACCTATTTAGCTTTATTATCCAATTTCCGATCATATTGCCTATTCCATTTTTCTTTTTATATTCCTCATGCATTACTTTATAATATTATCTATATTCTTAATCGTCTATTCATTGCGCATGTTTTCTTGTATTCGTCCTATTGGCAGGTTTTACCACATTATGTTCTTCCATTCATCATTTTCAAAAAAATTCATCTTAATTTATACCATCCGGTTTTTATCCCCCTTTCATTATCAAGTCAATCTTGCCAGCCTCTTTACATTGTAACATATTTTGCCCATTTTATTCCCTTTAACGAATTATTAAAACTAGTAATAATATAGCTTTTTAAAAAAAAAAAAAAAATCCCTTTATATCTCTGAGAATTATTCATGGGAAAACTGGGCGGGACAATCCTAAGAATTATTCACAGGAAGACTGATGGGTGGGGAATGTCAGGTATTTGACTTCATCATAACTGACAATTTTCTGCTTTGGATTTTCTCTTGGGGGGGGCGGGGAATAAAAACAATTCAGATTCTTTCAAGAGTGACTTATAAAGGCTTCCTTCAGAGTTCCTGTAAGGATTATCCCAGAGTAGGAATACCTCAATAAGAAGTTAATCCCACAAAACTCTGAATTATTTCTTAAAGGAGACGTCGCTTTATTTGGCCACTTAAAGGTTGTCTCTTCTTTCTTTTCACAGGGAGTCTCTCTTACCGCCCAGAGAGCCGCGGTGGTGGTTGGTGTGGAGCTGCCCATCTATGA